TCCCAGAATCTGAAATGATATAGGGTCTCCTACTTGAGCAGAGGGTTGGACTAGAAGACCTCCAAGGTCCCTTCCAACTCTGTTGTTCTGTTCTAAGAGTCCTTTCTAGGTCCCTGCATATTTCTCCACTTTAACATAAATCCACCTCATGAGGACATAGGAGGAAACATAACAAGATGTCAAGGATATTTGTGCCAGGCTTGGGCACCAGTGGGGATCAAGATGCCCCAGGTCACCTACAGTCCTTTTTCGGGACCAATTTCCCCCGAAATTCCCACTCCAGAATTCAAGGGGAAATCTTAACGACGCCCCCCTCCCTTACCAGTCGTGCGAAGCGACACTCCTGGAATGGATACTGAAAATGGAAGAAGCCCAAGGCATCGTTCACATGTGAAGAAAGGCAACTGCCCAGGTATAAAAACTTCGGGTCCAGCCCGAGGCCGGTCCCCCACAGGTCCATCTTGACAGCCAGGTGGATACTGGTCCTGTTGCATTCATAGATGACGGTGTTTGCAGGGACTGTGGGAAAGAGAAGGATCAGAGAAAGAGCTCATGGACCACAAGCTTGGATGGAGAACATCAGGAGATCCTAGAATATAATCCACACAGGAAGATTCTGGCAGAAGGCAACAAATGTTGTGTTATGGTGGTTGTTATTGAGAGAACCACCCAGGTAGGTCCATGCAGCTTGAAAGCTGCAATTAACAAACTAAACCAACATTGTTTCAGTTCTGCTTAATTCATGAGATGGTGATGCATCTGGATTGGGTGTATATGGTCCACAAAGTCAATTGGTAGGTTATGTAGTACTAGCCAATCTTGTCTAAGCTTGGAAGATAAGCAGGAGAAGGTCTGGTTACAACCTGGATGGGAGACTAAATCCAGAGCTATAGGTCAGACTTTTTTTTCGGGGGGGGGGGGACTTTTGTTGTTCATGTAGTCATCAGATTTCAAACTTGACTCAAGGGAAACTATCTCACATGCGTCATGAAGCTAGGCACTCGAGTTAATTCAACAAACCATGGTTGAACTACAAACTGGTAGCATTTCAAAACTATGGCTTAGTGTAAATTGTAAAGTCAGCTAGTATCTCTGCTCACTTGCAACTCATGCTTATCATTAACTAAACCAGTTTATTCAATTAATTAGGATTTTCTTTTAGCTTTTCAAGGCATATTAAACCACAGACTAACCATGCCAGTTAGGGAATCACATAATACACACAGCAAATGTTATGGTTCATCATGGACAATTCCAGATTTGGTTCCTCCTTAAACTCCATCAGAAGAACCAGGGAGCAGACATTTACTTCCATTTGACCACACCTTTCTCCAATTCAGAAAGAAGCCCTCTCCTCACTTTCCTTCTAACTCAGCTTTGACCTAGAGACAAACATGGTTACCCCTTTGAGCTGCAGTGGCTTCCAGCAGCATCAAGCAGGCCCAGAGTGTGGAAATGGTCCTCTCCGGTCCCATCTTGGTGGCCCTTCTCTTGCAACCCAGAAGAATGAATCCACGCTTTGTCCCTTGAGGATCTCTTTATTTCCTTCCCACAGAAGCCCCACCCAGAGACACAGGTGCTGGTCTTCTCATTTTCTATAGCAAGGACTATAGCAAACGGAAGGCAGAGTCTGTTTCTTTTGTCCGGTGGGGGCCAGCAAGAAGCTGATCAGAAAAAAGGACCATGGGTACTCAAAACTGAAATTTGGGTTTGGACAACTAGAATGATTTTGCTGTAATAGAAATGGCTTGGCACGTTTAGAAAGGTAAAGCAAGGTGAGGGATTCTGGGAGCTGAAGTCCACAAGTCTTAAAGTTGCCACGTTTGGAGACCTCTGGCTTAGTGTGATTAGGTGAACCTCAAGTCAATTTTGATTTGACAAGCCAGAGTTCAATTAACCATTGCTTGGACATTGCTTGGTTATTATTTCTACTAGGGCTTCAGGAAGAATTCAGATGGAAGTCTCCTGACCTCAAGTGACCTTAGCATTTTCCTGCTCTTTATGGAAGCAGCCAGGGGGTATTCAGGCTTCACAAAAAGGTTTTATGGGTTGAGTCAAACTGATGCTTTAAGGGTTGAGTCCACTTTAACAAAAGACTTCTTTGGGATCATTCTTGAAGAATGCACAGCCTGAGGTATCTTCAGCCGAAGCAGTGGGCTGTGTAGATCTCCTATTAACAGAAGGTCTGTAACAGCTGGGTTAGTTTTAATCATGGCTTGCCAAGCAAGCCAGATTGGTTTGGATAGCACATCACACTGAGCCAGCCAGCTAGCTAGCTCTACAAGGTAGACTAGGTTGAGGAAGTGATTCAGAATAGAGCTGGAAGGGACCTTGGAGGTCTTCTAGTCCAGCCCCCTGCTCAAGCAGATCTCATACCATTTTAGATAAATGACTGTCCAATCTCTGCAGATACCTCCAGTTTTGTGGCAATCTTAACTACCAACCTGAGGCCCACACGGCTGGACAAGCGGAGATTTTGGCCTCAAGGGACTTAGCGTTAATCTGTAATTAACGTGGTGGTGGCATTTACTACTGAAGCCTGGCCGAGTGAGGGTGGTGCTGTGGCCTTGTCTGGAATCTGCCCAGCTATGATTCAGGTCCTCCAGCAAGCTCAACCCCCAAGGCACGGGAGGAGGTGGCTTTGATTGTTGTGGACCTTACCTGTGATCAGGGACTCCACTCCTGACATACCGGGGTGCATCTGTATGTTACAAGGTAGAGATGTTTGAAAAGCTGCCGATGTGCTGGTCACTTTGCAAATGATTTCCAGAGGATGCTGGGAAGTTCTCCAGGTTCTGACAGGGTTGGCAGGTCACTTACCTGGTAAGTCACTAGTGTAGTGGTTAAGGTGCTGGCTTAGAAACCAGATCAACTGAGGGTTCTATTCCACCTTCGGCATCAAAGTAGCCTAGAGGACTTTGGGCAAATCCCCAGGAGACTGGGAGACTGGGAGTTCTAGTCCTGCCTTAGGCCTGAAAGCAGCTGGGTGACTTCCAGCCAATCACTCTTAGGCCAGCCCACCACACAGGGTTGTTGTTGTGGAGAAAACAGGAGGAGAGGGTGTTTATGTATGTTCGCCGCCTTGAGTTACTTGTAAATGAAATAACTAAATGGCGGGAATGGCGGGGAAGTTGGGCCCAGAACATGATGCTTCCTTCCCAGTAGACTCTGGGGACAGAGTCTGGGAGAGCCTTGAGGCCCTCTGGGAAGTGGGAATTAACGAAACGAGAATTAACTCCTTAGTGAAAATAAAAATGTGCTTTTAGGAGCGAAGGAAGAGCTACGTTAGCTGGTGAAACCATGCACGCCAGCGGTTTCTGAGAGTAGCTGGTGCAGATGCATCCAGCCACAGTGGAATCTGTAATTCAGAAATCCAAATCAATTATCTGTAAGCACCAAATGTGATTTAAAAACAGGTTTGCGAAAAACAAGATTGCCTGGCCAGCCCTCTCCTTCTTATTGAGTAGCAGATCTCCTGGCCATGCTCTCCTGCCTCAGTTGGCCTGGAATGATCAGAAAGTAGCCTACGTCGACTTTGGCATTCATTGACCGGAATGGACTGTGTAGAATGCTGTGAATTTGTGCAAATCCCATCTTTTCTTTGCCTTTTACACTCTGTTTTTGTGCAATCTTAATCAGAGAGGGATTTGGGGAACCCACGGAAGAGTACGATCATCTCCCATTCACGCAAGCAACAAAAACGCTCAGTGCTGTTTCACGCTCAGGATGTAACATAGTCAGGCAAGTGAACAAAATACAACTGTGGTTCAACGGAAGAATTTATCTATGCACATGTTACAGAAATGCACATTCACGGCTCGTGTAACACATCGGAATAAAGCTTCACCTTGGGCGCACCTGCACTATAAAATTGTAACAGCGATATTGATTAAGTGCTCGGCTGCTCTCGCTCCGCAAAGCGTCCTGAGAACTGGGATTCGGTGGAAAGTCCCGTTCCAAAACTTCAGCAGAACATTACAGTACTTCAGAGGGTCCGAGGGAAGAAGGACTGACAGTTGCTTGCTTTAAAGCTTTGGGGAGCAGATCTGCTCAAAGTACGTGAAAAATTGTACTGCTCCATCAATGCACGTTCTCTCTTTTTATTATAGTTCAGGGCAAATTACCCGTTCGATTTGCCTCTAGGGAACGGGCATCCAGTCCTGCTCACAAGGAAAACGATGTATGGTGCAAGCCAATATCGTCACGTACTTGCTTCCCTAACCACCTTATGCTGTAATAAACGGCAGGCTGGCAGTTTCTCTTACGATTGCGGCCCACGAGAGTTGGAATGTGAGAAGGGAAGGAGATTCCGAGTGGCAAAATACTGCCGCTGGTGGAAGCTTCTTGACCTGGTTTTCACTGTAGTGTTTTCAGTCGTTAAAGCAGCAGTGACTTCTGAGAATGGAATGCTTCCATTTTACTTTCTTCTTGCCAAAGTCCAGCCCAAAATGAGTCACGGTACAGCACTTTTTCTCCCTCCCTTGGTTACAAGCCTTGGTCGCCCATTCCTTCCCACCTATTTTTGTTTTTAATCTCACCTTCAGGAACAGTTTATGCTCAAGACAGGTTCTCACGTTAGCCGGTGGCCACCATGCGAGTTCAGCGGGGGAATGGGACAACTTCCCACAGCCAACTCGCTGCAGTTTAACAACTTAACCATTCTGTTTAATTATTTAAAATACATCAAAAGTATTTACATTTTTTGCCAGTCACATTTCATTCTATCCCTCCTTTTGCACCCTTCCTTTAACGATGCTGTTCCACTGCTTCTTTGATATTCGTGGAAGTCTTCTCCCGCAGCGAGTTGTCCTGGGGCAAGTTGACCGTGGTGGGTTGGCCGTGGTGAATCGGCCACGGCGAATTGCCATAGACCCGGTTCAGTGTGTGCCTGGCCAACCAGTGGGAGAAACGAGTGGAAAGGGAAGAAAGGGAAAGAAAAGCATCAGAGTGACTCTTGTGGAGGAACGGTGTGCTCGGTCGTCACAAGGAGAGTCGCCCTCTTACCACTTCAAAAACATCCGCACCCAGCCCCACAGCTTGGTGATCCACAGGTTGACCCCGAGGTCTGACAGGTATTGGATCTCGGGGGTCAGCATCTTGCGGCAAAGCTTCCGATGCTTCTTGTTGATCCTCTTTTTCAAGTTGTAGCCCAGGATGGATTTCTCACCCACTGGCTGCCAGGGCTGCATGGCGTATTCCTCAATAGAGTTGGCATCCACGGGGTGGCCTCCATCTATGCAGACACTCTTCATCTTCTCGTTCTCCTCGTTGAGCCTGGCCACGTCCTTAGCCATCCTGGCCGTCCCGTAGGCCTCCACTTTGTGCCAGAACGTGGTGTTGAAGTACTGGTAGAGCTTGGCGTCCAGGAGGTTCCAGACGGTGGCCTTTTGGTAGAGTTCCTTGGTCAGCCTTGAGACGGGGGACCCTTTGCGAGCGTTGAGCTTGAAGTAGAGAATGTCTTCCAGCTCCCAGCACAGCAAGTCCTTCAGAAGCACCAAGGATTCGTCAAAGAACTCCAAAAGCATCACCAGATTGAAACGCGCATCAATCTCACGAATGTACTGTTCGACTAGCGGGCTGTTGGGGTCCATGTTGCTGTCATAGCCTAAGTCAAAGAATAGGAGATTCTGGAGGTAGTGCGCATTGAACCCATTCGGATCATAGTAATGCCAAGGATCCCTCAGGAATTCAGCCAGCTTATCATCTCCCAATACCTTCCAGGTCAAAGGGATGACGCCCCAAAAGTAACGGAAAGAAGACTCAAAGAGGTAGGCGGGATCCCGCAGCACTGTCACAAAGACGGCGTCGGCCGGCAGCAACTTGCGCACTTCCTCGTACTGAAAGCGCATGTGGTTACAAATGATGTTGAAGCAGACGCCGGGCTGGTAGTCCTTCACCTGGCTGCGGTCAAAGAAGGACGGGTAGTAGAAATCGCTACGTCCGTTGGGGAAGGCGAACTTGAGGTGGTGCTTCTCCCCAAAGCGGAAGAGAATATTGAGGATGGTGCTGCTGGCTGTCTTGTGGGTCTTCATGAACATGACATTTAGTTTGGGGAGACATTTTTCTCCGGCTGAGCCCTGGCTACTATTCCCTGAAGCTGATAGCCGGGCCTGAGTGCGGTAGGAAGAGCAGGAATAAGGGATGGGAATCCTGGTGGGAAGAAAGAAAAAAAAAGAGGAAAAATGAATAAGGATTTATTTATTTTAGGAGAAATCATCTCTGCCTTTCTTATGTCTACTTGGCAAAGGTTCTAGACCTGCCATTGGCCTCCCGCTCTCATCACTAACGTTGAAAGCAGCTATTGGTCACAGGAGCCTTGCAATTTCGGTTTGCCTTACAACAATACAGTGCAGCTCTTTACAAGCAAAACTGAGGGCAGTAAGATTAAACCCTATCTTTTCTCTGCAAAGGCCCAGCATTCCACTTTGGATTGCTTGCAAGGACTTTTCAAACCAAGGACAGAGAGAGATGGAGACAGAATGTACACTTTTAGTACCCCAGGTGTCTACCCCTGCCTGTTGTTTCACAAATATAAATGGTTCCAAAGGCTTTCTATGGAAGATCCCTCCCGGACTGGTTCCAGATGGAAAAGGCATGCTTCCTGCACCTCCATCGCCTCGTACCGTCTATGCCAGATTCACTCACTCTGTCATGCTGACTTGTAAGGGTGGAACAGCATACGAATACAGAACCAGCATGAAGCTAGTCAGCAAGGTTCCCAGAACGAGGCCTTTACACATGGACTTCCAGTTCGTCCTTTGAGGCAACATTATGATCGTCTGAAAGAAGAAATGGAGAGAACGGTTGGTTAATTCGCTCGGGAAATTCCTACATAACGGGGAAGGCTGCCTAATGCAAAATACAAGCCTTGATGCATCTGGGTTCATACTGGCTTAGCAACTGGCTGACAGCTGCCCTTCAGGAATTCCAGAGCCCAAACCGATCGTGCGGAGGCCTTCCTTACACCTCGTATGATAATCAGAGAAGCGAGAGGTATGGAAAGGATGACACAGGCTTTCAGTAAGCAAGCAAGCGTGGGAAATGTTGGCTCATCAGAACTATGTAAAATGATGAAGGGCTTGGAGAAAGTCTAGCCACGTGGAATCTCTTGCATTGGATCATTGCTGGGACTGTCATCGATGCAACTGTAAAAACCAGAAGCATTTGCTATGGGGCACCAATGGCAATTTGAAGGTGCCAAGGCACCAGGGTTCCGTTATCCACCCACTGCGGGAACGAGGTGGATTTTCTGATTCATAATTTAATCTAGAGAGAGACGGCAGCAGCGCACGTACAGACCCCCAGGCCGTTTGGATGCATTTTCTAGCTGAGAGGTAGTTTTGACATTTTCTCCTTGCTGGTCATGCAGCCCACCAACCACATCAGAGCCTTTGTGGGAGGGAAGGGGGGGGAGTCTAGCTAAGCAGAGATACCTGCAGACGCACACTTGGCCAGCCTGCACCCCGCCGTCTGTTTGTTTCGCAGTCAGCAAAGAAGAGAGTGTGAAAGGCGACAGCACCTGACTCTAGCCGGCAGGAGTCCACAGGAGCTCCGTGGCTGGACTGGAGGGAATGCCTGCTCTTTGCAAGATCGGGAGGGCCGGAGTAGAGGAGAACAACTGCAATGCAGCAGGATTGTCCTCTGTGGTTGTGTTCCCGGGGCCTGCAGGAGCACAAGGTTGGGGGGGGGGGGAGAGAATGGCCGGCCTGCAGGAGTCCAGAACGGACCCATTCCACAAACGGAGGGCCCCGGTGGAGAACATGGTTTGTGAAGGCGAAAGGAAGAAGGTGCTGCATGCAGAGCTTCCTGTTCAGAGATCCTGGTCCATGTACAAAGAATAATATAATCTCAAAAGAGTGACATAGACGGAAAGCGCCTGGGGGTTCCACAACTCTTCACAATCTACAACGGAGGGCAGGACTCAGAAACCGGAGATCTAGTCCCATGTTTATTTTGAGCCTGAAAACATATAACAAGTGCCACATAAAGTGCCTAAAACAATCTCCCTTCAAAAATAAACAAATAAAAACAAGCCAGAAATAAAAACTAAAAAAAAAAAATTAGGTAAAGATATTTGGTAGTCATTAAATGAAAAAGGCCGAGCCTTTTCCCATGGCTAAACTGAAGCACTTGCCATCTGTCTTTAAGTTAGCTGGCATCATACTGGCATTAAATTGGCTGTTCCCTTCCAGGCAGGATTGCTTACTGTATATCCCCAGTCACTGCCAGATTTCCTTCTAATAAAGGACAAACCCTAATTGTTTCTAATATCTCTTAATCCTGTCCTTGCACAAGGAGCAAAATACTACAGGTGCTCCTTGACTTAATGACCGCAGCGGAGATCAGAAATTTGCGTTCATTACATAACTAAAGGGCCGATTGAGTCAGCGTTTCTAAGTTGTTTTCTGGAAAGCGGTTTTCCAGAACTGAGTATGGTGTGTATAGAAGCTGAAATCCCGTACATCGGTTTAGCGAAATCTGCCATGTCGTTTATTGCACCTCTCGGGTCTTTTGGAACACTCTTCTAATGCTACCTGTTTCGTTTCTTGATCGGCCTAATCTGCCTGCTGAAATAACTTCAAATTCTGCATTACTGGAAAAATATGAGATTTGGCTTTGTAGATTTGTTACGGAGCATTCCAGAGAGAGAGAGAGAGAATCTGAATTTTTCTGTAGCGCAGATCATCCTGCTTAGCTGGCCCTCGTCCACATTGGTCAGGACTCCTGGGGGAGGGGGGTGAGTGGGCTCTGTGTTGCTAGTGCCTGTTTGATACAGCTGAGATTCTGCTCACCAATGAATAATGAATGGAAACTGTGAATAGATCCTGATCGGGGAACAAGACTCCTTTATTCCTTCTTGACATTCAACACCACTGCTTCTGTCTCGGACTGACCTCCTTCCGCAGGGGACCCCATAGAACTCGCTAAGAACCTGATACAAACTGGCGACGAGGAGAAGGACCTCAATGGGGACAGTGATGCTTCTAGTCTCTTTCTGGCCTGGAGAAAGAGCCCCCCCCCCGGGAACGCTGAAAAAGCTCACGCTCTTTCCCCCAGGGGCTTGGGCAGCAAGCCACGAGGATGCAGAAAGGATGTCCACAAGGTAAACCCCAGTCTACATGCTTGTGGGCTTTCCCTCACCAAGCCTGCTTCATCCCCTGCCTCTCCTCTCCATAGGCAACCAAGCTTTGGTTTGAGGGGTCCTTGGTGCTCTCCGAGCTGGCTTGTTTTCTTGCAGACATTTCGTGGCCCAAACTAGGTAACATCATCAGTGCAAGGAGGAGGAGGAAGAAGATTGTGGGGCCCTTCCTTAGTGTTTTCTGAGCTGGCTTGTTTTCTTGCAGACGTTTCGTGACCCAAACTAGGTAACCTCAATTATTAGTACAGCCAAAGGCCAACAAATACATTAAACATTCAAATAAAACAAAACTAAACAGAACCAACACAAGAAGACATAGCAATATATTGCAACTGATGATGCAATCAATAGGTGACCCAGGTCTGCCTAGTTTTACAGACGGTGTAACAAAAACTAGCGACCTTCAGAAAAACAGAATCATACTGACCTGACAATAAAAATACCCTGAGTATAGGTAATCTAATGCTGGATAAAAACACGTAATAAAATTAATGATAAAGGATGGTTAAAAAGATCTAAAATGTTTACTTATGTTTCTGGCGAATCCCCAATGTTGCTGGGCAGAGTCTAGCCACCTGCGCCGTGATCACTGCCTGCTCGTCCTTAAGAAGCCACTGGAGATAAATACTTTCCAAATGACCAGGATACCTATCGATTATGGGAAGGATATGGTTTTTTTTCCGAATAGCTCTATAGAAGGAACATCAAAGGAGTCTGTGTCCAATGGTCTCCACCTCTCCTGAGCCACAGGAGCAGGGTCTTTCAGCCAATGGTGTCTTTTTATACTTGCCGTAGAAGACGGCTGATGGAAACGCATGGCACCGTGCAAGCGAGAATGCTTTCCGGTGGTTTATTGACTCCAACTGACTAAGATACCTGGGACGTGTAACCACGTATCTAATAGAGTCCGGAGCCAAAAACAGCAGAGCCACACCTAAGTCCTCTTGCCTCTCGATGTCCTCTCCCCTTTGATACAAGGTTTGTTTTGCTTGGTCGTAGTCCAATTTCAGGGTTGAGGCTGACGAGAAGCCTAGTTTGGCAAGGTTGGACTCGACTGCCTTGATCCATGAAGAGGGGAAGAAGAATTAATGGAGGAAGGCCTTGTGGAAAGCCATTAAGCCTTAGCCAGATGTTTAACGAAGCTATACAGATTCTTGCTTCGACTTTTATCAACCCTGTCTCCAGGCGCAGAAGTGCATTTGGGACACAGCACAGCATCTGGAGAATTGTTCTGATCTGTTTGGATTGAACTCTTTCCAACGGTGTAAAACACAAAGCTAAAGGTCCGAGCAAAGTCCCGTGGAGAAGCTGTGCTAGCGACTTGGCCAGAAAGAGCTTAACTGCAGCTGGAATAGAGCGTCCTCCCTTTGTGCAGAAAAAAATTAAGAATGGCATTCGCTGATCGTTGGCCAGAGGTAGCCACGTATTCTCCATGGGCTTTTTGTGAGCCAGTGGCATGGATGACCACCCCTAGGTACTTAAAGGTGGTTACCTGCTCTATTTTGTGGCTATTTAAATACCATGAGTACCGTTTTGGCCTTTTTGCAAAAGCCATAACCTTTGTTTTCGTGACCCAAACTAGGTAACATGTTCAGTGCAAGGAGGAGGAGGGAGATTGTGGGGTCCTTGCTTAGTGCTCTCTGAGCTGGCTTGTTTTCTTGCAGATGCTTTGTGACTCAAACTAGGTAATGTCTTCAGTGCTAGTAAGAAGTCAGTTTATATTCTAGTGTCTTTCCCTGTCAGTGTTGGTGTGAGTGGTCTTAGAGATTCTTTGGTTGGGCTGTTTGCTGTTGGCTTCATTGGCAGTTTCTTAACTGGGATGTTCTTTACTTGATTGCTGGTCTGATGTTGACCTTGGCGTTAATCTAGGCTGATCTGGGTGCTGATTGCTGGTGGAGAGATGCTTGGATCTTTTTGTTCACTTTTGGCCTGGCCGATTGTCTCTTTTGCATAGTCTATAGATGTTGTTAATATCAGTATGTGTCTATGGATGGCTGATTTCTTCAAGCTTCTCTCTGCTTTGATTGCCCAAGGATCTGCTGATATACTGTAGTTCTACAGAGGAATTCTTGAGTCTGTCATGTATAGCTCAATAACTGTCTGGTTTGGCACAGCAACCAAACAAGACAGACACAGTCTTCAAGGGATAGTTAGGACTGCAGAAAAAACAATCACAACCAGCCTGCCTTCCATTGAAGATATGTATACTGCAGGGGCTCAAAAAAGGGCTGAGAAATTATCTACAGACCTTAATATCCTATGTTTTTCTATTCCCCCCCCCCTAAAACGAGAAGTCTGGAGCATAATTTTTAAAGATTGGATTTTTACCTGCCTTATCAGATATGAGCTCCACCAGTTTTCTCTCTTTTGTGTTGCCCATCCTCTGCTTTCCTTCTCCATTCAGCCTACAGTTAATCATTAATACACTCCACCGGTAGAAAGGGACGCAATAACCCCTATAAAGCCAGGATGTCTCAGGGTGGGTTTTCAGATGTCACTCTTTAGCATGAAAGTGTTTACCACATAACTATTTCTCTCAGCACTTCCCACCCAAAAAGGCAGGGCAACAGGCAATAACTCCGAAAGAAATAGCTTGAATTTTAATGTGACTTATTTAAACAATGTTCAGTAAAAAAAAAAAAAACTACTAAGGAAGTAAACTCAGAATAACTCTGCTGCTTTTTTAATATTTGGGAATTTAAGTTTAAACTATCCCTGACAGGTTTATTGAGTTTTGATTGGATTTATGAGCTGTTGACTGTTTTGCCTGCTCCTTTTACACAGAACGTAGCTGAGAATTTAGTACAGGGGGATATGAGAGAGAGGATGCAAATGAATATGCATTCATGCGCAGAGATTGGTTGGAGCAAGAATTCACCATGCCCCTAAAACATAGAACATAGAATAACAGGGCTGGAAGGGACTTTGGAGATCCTCTAGTCAACCCCCTGCTCAAGGCAGGAGACTTTATACCCATCCCCGTCAATAGTTCTACAGTCTGTTCTTGAACACCTCCAGCGATGGAGCACCCACAGCTTCTGAAGGCAAGCCATTCCACTGATTAATTGTTCTCGCTGTCAGGAAATTTCTCCTTAGTTCCAGGTTGGATCCAAGTTTCCACCCATTACTTCTTCTCCTGCCCTCAGGAGCTTTGTAGAATAGGTTTCCCTCCTCACCTCTTCTCTGTGACAGCCCGTCAAGTAGCTAAAGACTGCTAACCCTAGTCCTTTTTTTTTCATTAGACTAGACTTACTGGCTCCCTCAACCGTTCATCGTACAGTTGATCCTGCATGTCCCCTATCATCTTGGTTGCTTTTCTCTGTACTCTTTCTAGGATCTCAGCATCTTTTTTGGGGGGATAAAGGCAACCAGAACAGGATGCAGTTTTCCAAGGGTTGAAAAGGGTTAAAGCCCTTCAGATAAGTCGAATGTAAATGGAAGAAGTAGTAGGTCCAAAAAGGAGGTGCCAATATATTTGCTTATCAACTGGCGCACATGTCAGTGTGTGTAAACATACCTTTCCCTCCTGCTGGATACTACCTAATTGTTATTAAATATCGCCCGCTGTCCAGGTTTCTTTCCTGTCCAGTTTTTCATCGCCTCAGCCCCTGCCCTAATTCTGCAGAAATAATCCTGGGGTTGCAGCTTACCTCTTTCTTCTCTTAAGCACTTTCTTGCAGTCCTTCTCCTTGGCGTGTGTCAAAGCGAAGCTTGCCGAGAAAACCTGGGGATGCTTCTCCGACATGGAGCAGCGTCTCCTCAAGGGGATCCGTCCCAACGCTCCAGAAAGCTTTTTCCAGCCTTCGGACAAATTGTCTCCCACTTAGGGCTAGCTCTTTCCCTTGGGCAGCTCATGGGACCTTCCCCCATCTCCTCCACAGAAAATGTTCAAGCAGCTCAGCTACTGTACTGCCACACAGCGGATTCTCCTCCCACTTTTGGTGGCACAGAGGAGACATTCACCAGCCTTCCAAGCCCGTTCTGGAACAAAGCAGCTGCTTGTATCTCTCTGCAGGACTGGGATCAACAAAGACATTGTTCCTGGCATAATTGGTTTTCCCTTTCCCTCTTTTCTCCAGCTAGGAACAGCAAAAGCCAGCAGACCCCCACACACACACTCAGCCCAGTCTTACACCAGCAGGAGCTGACAGCAGAAAACAGAAGGGGCTGCAGCCTGGACTGCGCTTGGGATGGACAGCAGGGGAGGTCAGCATCTGGGCTCAAAGGGGCTCAACAGCTCCATGGGGCCATTCGCATTTTCATCCCATTTGGCTGCAGCCTTGCTAGCCCACTGGTGACCTGGCGCAATTCAAAGGGCAAACTCTGACCTACAAAGGATTACTTTAGGATGGAGTACTAGAGATCCTTCAGTTGTTTAATGAATCATAATGCCCAGCATTCTTCAACCATTAGCCATGCTGGCTTGGGCTGCAATTCAGCAAATTTTGGTTCTCTGTCTCTCTCTCTCTCCTCTCCTCTCCCTCTTCCCCCTCTTTCTCCCCCCCACCCCCCAATATAGGGCTGAGTTATCATTACGTTTTCCAGTGTTGGAATAGAAATTTAGATATACAGAAACCAAGGGCTAGCTGAACCAGAGAGAATCCCTGTTTGAGAAGGCCTGAGAGTCTGGCTTATTAATTTATTAACCAACTATTAAGGGGCTTCTGCAAGTGAGTCATGAATTTGCTTCAACCAGAGCTAGTCCCTTTTCATCCCCTTTATCTATGCATTTCCTCGATAAAATTGCTGTTAGAACCAGCACTTAGCATCTGTTTTGACACTTGCCAGAAGCTACAGAAGTTTCACTTATAGGAAGTGTTGGTCCAGCCGGCCAATTGTGTCTTTATAAACTGTTGAAGAATTCATGGCTCACTTGCAACTTACTCTGTAGAACGTATATTTCTTGCCAGCAAGGTGTCATCTCCTTTCCATGAAGAAGATGCCCTTACAGAAATCAGACCTCAAAGCAGTGCTGGGATTCAGCCAGTTTGCACCACTTCGGCAGAACCTGCAGCTAATTTTTTGTTGCCCAGGCCCAGAATGGGCTTCGGAAGTGGCATCCACACAGAGAACCGGTTGTTCACCTATTTGAATCCCACCACTGCCTAAAAGGAGTCATCAGAGCAATTACGGTACCTGAAAAATGCTTTTTGAATTATGGGATTGGAGCCTCCCCTTCTCTCGAAAGCTGCAAAACAAAAATGCAAAAGTTTCGGTTAGAGCTGAAATACTTCCACAGTCCTGATTGATTTCGTGCTACATCTGAAGCTGTGTGCAGGCCTTTTTGTTTGTTTGTTTTCCCAATAATTTGTTCCAAATCAAATTCCACTATTGAGAGATTGCTAAGAGAATATTCCGGTTTTTTTTCTGGCCTGGAAGACAGCTTGAAATGAATTGCATCGCTGGTTTTTTTTTTCATTGTTAGTTGATTCCTAAAAGAAAACATTTTGAAACCATTCAGGTTATCGAAGAAGAGACATGTTCTGAAGCAGTAGCTGCTCACCATTAAACTCAAGTTTATCTGTGGCTAATCTTCTAGCAGCAAGCATTCATGATTGTGCTTGCAGACACTGCACAAGTGTCTGCAAACAGAGCTCCAGTAATGTTCCAGTAAGGTATGAGACTATGAATTTTGCAATCAACTGAATGTAAATTGCTGTTTTGAAGAAAGACAATCCTACTTCATATGGGGAAATCCATATATAAATTTAGGATTCACAAGCATGCTCATATTTACCTGTGCTACTTTCTCTATATGAATTATTTTTAAAGAAGAGGCCTTAAGACTTGGAATCAGATTTTTTCTTCCAGTTTAATCTTACTTTGTGGGAAGACCTATCTTAAATTCAGCATAATGTTTCTTCCTGGCAAATAGAGTATAAAGTTCAGTCCCTTGTTCAAATTTGGATTTTAAAAATTTCAGCACAATAGTGTTGTGGAATAATTATCCTAAATATCCTAAAACCAGGAGTCTGGCAGCACTTTTCCCAACTAACAAATGTCGTTAAGCTTTTAAAAAGGGACTGGACAGCCGTTTGACTGAAATGGCATAGGGTCTCCTACTTGAGCAGGAGGTTGGACTAGAAGACCTCCAAGGTCCCCTTCCAGCTCTATTATTCTGTTATTAAAATACAGGCAAATTTTATTTATCAGATGCATACAGTTGCTGGAGTGATGTAGGGTTTAAACTGGGGGAAAGGGGGGGGGGAAGGGAAGACAATCTCTATGCAGATTCAGGTTACACTTGACACAAATTACAAGAACTCTATTAGTAACATGTTTGTTGTAAACATCTGAGTTTGCCAGAAAAAGGTAATTTCTTGCTTTTAAGGTCTGTTTTTCTCCAAAATGGTTATTTTGCAGCCTTGTTATGGTTAGGGCTACCAGATAACTGGAAAAAGGAAACTTTGTTCTTTTTATGCCCTCTGTTCAGCTGGCCTAACTTTAAAATCAAATATTGTCCAGCTTTGTGAGCGTCTTGAAGGGGTGGTGGGATTTTGGACTGTTTTCACTAGGTAATTCAAACTTCTGTGAATTGTGATCTTGTAAATTGTCTGCTTCTTTCTTTCCCTTGTCCGTTGACAGACTCGGTATGTTATTTCTTTCTTGATTCCAGCCATCGACCTCACTCCAACCCCTTATATGAACTCTATAGAATCCATGATTCATCATACGTTTCTATACAGAAACTTGAAATGTGCGTCAGATCTATATTATCACTAGTTCTTCAAAATAAAAAGAGTTGTTAGGGAAAAAAATTGCAATCGGAAAAACCAGTCTTTCTGAAGCTGGAAAAGGTAAAAGTTGTTAGTAAACATGCAACTGGAAAACGGCCTGTTTCTGAGGCTGGAAAAAGTAATTTCATGTAGGGTGTAGGCCTAACGTTATAAGCTGCCCAGAGTTGTGAGATGGATGGCATATAAATTTAATTTGAAACCCCCCCCCCATGCCCTCTTGGCTTCATGGGAGAGCACCTACCTCCTCATCTTGATACATATACATATATATAGTAACTGCCTTTCATCCAAGACATTAGGGCCCACCCTTGTTCTGAGGAATTCACCATGGCTGCCATTTTGCTAAAAAAAAAAACCAACGGATTTCTTTAAGCCAAAGGCCCAGCGGAACCCAGCCAAGGATCAACTTGCTCTCTTCCTGGGCTTTCCTAAGCCATTGCTTAGCCTGGATTGATCAAACAAGCCACAATAGGCTGTGTTCACACATTACACCACACCCTCGATTGAGAAATGTCCTCGGCCAGATAGAGGCCTTCTTGTGGACATTTGCTCGCTTGGCCACCATTGAAGCAGGCCGCAGCTTTGCGCCATGGGAGATTGGCGCACGGCTGGGCCCAGCCCCAGGGCGGCTTAACCAGGATGGTGAACCACGGTCTGTTGAAAGGACCTGAGGTCAAAACAAGAAAAAAAATGAAAATCCAGCCACCTTGGACTGTCCTCCATTGGCCTGCTGCGCTGTGTCCAGCAGAGAGGCTGGGCAGTTTGACCTTTTGCCCTTAAGAGCCACCACCAAGATGGAGGCCGAGCAGCCGCAGCCAGCCGGGGCCAAAGGGGGAGAGGCTGGAAAGGCGGCTTGCGTCCTGGGGCAGCTCTCGAAGGGGCAGCCCCCAAACCAGCCCCTCGGATGGGCCAAGCCTGGCTTGGCTGCCTGCCTGGGGCTGGGAGAAGCAGCAGCTGCTTGCCATGGCTGGGCCAGACATTATAGCAAGGACCCCCCCTTTTGCCTGGGGGAGCCATCTCCCCATCGCACCCTGCCCATCCAGGGGTGATGGGGGGGAGCAGCTGTGGGTCAGGATCCCAATGGGGTGCCCCACTGGCTCTTGGTTGTCTGGGGCAGGATCCAAAATGGTGTCACTCCAGTTTTGGCTGAGACTCCGTCTTCTGGGGTTGGGTTGAGCTGAGGTTTGCTCCCTCAATGATGGCTAAGCACACCATGGTTTAATGCCTTAGTGGTATTTTAATTTGCTATTTAGATGACTGCCCTGTTCCAACTACCTAAAAGCTTGGGTGGATGCCTTTATTTTGGATGTTATGGGTATGAGTTGCAGGGGTTTTGACCCGCTTTGGCTGTTGTGGTTTAAATCTTTTTTTAAAAAAATTAGGGATAGGCTTCTAATGTGCTTTTTAGCCTGGCAGCAGGGCACAGAAGAGCCAAAATGGATGCGAAGGGTAAAAGTTATTAGGAAAGAAACAAGGTTATACCTTTTTAAATCTCTGTAATGTTTTGAATCCTTGGATATCACACATCACCCCAAGTAGAATTCATATACATGGTATTATGGTTGTGTGAAAGTTGTTGTGTTGCATGCTTGGTTGCCATTTTACATTTTAGCTCTTTGGTTTTTAATCTATTGTTTGATGCTAGCTTATTGTATTATTATGTTTATGTTGTTCACCTTCTGGAGTCACACTGGGTTGAGAAAAAAGAAAGAAAAAAAAAGATGGATGCAGACTGATAGCTGAATGTGTTTTAAAGTTCAGTTTAATGAAGCCTCATTCACCATGCCGTAATTTGCAACTGAAATGCAAAGGCAGACAGCACAATGACCACAAAGGAGCCATGTTTGCTGGCTAGAGGTCAACCTCCAAGGTACAGCCGAACTATCGTAATTCAAGATTTTATTTTATTTACATACATTGCAAGAAAATGACACTTAAAATGGTGTGTCAGGCAAGAGCCTCAAAATGTTTTATTCTGTGCCAAAACTAATGGGGGAGAAGAGGAATCTGCTCAGAATACGCAGCCAACCAATTTTTCGATTCCAGATGGGAACCTTGTTCACATGCCTGCTATTTCATGTGTCCTTGGCAAAGGGGTTGTTAGTGACTATTTCTCTCCTCAAAAATAACATTTCTCCATCCAAGATTGAAGATCTGCCTGACCATCTCACTGAGGCTGACACAGCGGCCGTCATAAAGAGAGAAACAGAATGGAACCGAGAATTTACGTGTCTTTTCAGTAGAATGGGTTTTCCTAAAGAAATCAGGGTTATTGTAGACCCAGTTCTACTTAGTTCTGCTTTGGAGAGGGGACTCAGGCCAAACACCTACAGAATCAGGGATTCCAATCCTGTCCACCTCCCAGGGAAAGATCTGGCTTTAGGTCCCAGGTCCCCTTTCCAGGGCTACGTTATGAAATGATAGCCCAAAATGAGATGGGCTCTTTTATTCCCGCCGTGCCTTCTTGCTTTTCTTCTTTTCTGATTTTACTGCTGCGTCGTGAGCTTTCCGTTTCTCTGCCAGTTTGTTTGCCTGAAAAAAACAGAAAAGAAAATGCTAAGTCCAATTCTCACAGCAAAGTTCCCCGAAAAATGGGCTCTTGCACAAGTCTGAAAGCTCAGAAGGCTAAACCTGTGGTTCCGATAACCGACCCAGACTGGATCCTGCGACGTTATCCTGGGACCTTCATTTGTAATTCCTGCCGTTCCGAAGAACCTCAGGAGGTAAAACACACTCACAAACTGAGCCAAGCCAAGCCAAGAAGGATACCTCTCTAGTTTTGCGCTTCTTCCCAAACATTATTTTTTGGTAGAGGTATTTCTCCCGTTTCTTCATCATCATGATGGCCAACCGTTTCTCCTCACTTTGCTGCTCCTGCATCAGACGCTGCTTATCCTCCTTCACAACCTGGCCGGGGGTCACCTTCACTGGGAGCTTCTGAGACCAAAGGAAATGGAGCACTCAAAAGATCGTTCCAGTTCAAGCAGAGAACACAAAACGTTCAGGAAACTTTCCCAAGCCAAGAAAAAGAGACTTAGGACTGTTTTTCAGAGTTACAACGTCTGCAGCATCCTCGTGATCCTGTGATCAAAATTCACATGCTTGAGACTGGTTTATATTTATGACTGTTGCTGTGTCCCCAAGGTCATGTGATCCTCTTTTGTGACCTTCTGACAAGCAAAGTCAGCGGGGAAGCCAGATTCGTTAGTAACCAGGTTACTAACTTATCCACTGCAGTGATTCACACCCATCGTATCAGGTACCTCCTAAGCATCTTTTATGGGTACCTTGTTCTGAGATCTCTGTGCTTCCATCTTCCGTAGTTTCCCTTCATCTTCTTGGTCAGAATCCTTCTCCTCCTCTTCCTCCGAGCCTTCGTCCTCTCCACTGCTCCCCTCTTCCGCTTCGGATTCACTATCTTCTGCGACTGGAAAGACCCAAACTGTGTTACTCACTCAGCCCCCCACCAAATACAACGTGCTCGCCAGAAACCCAGGAACCGCTGTGTACCTGGTTCTTCACCCCTTTGCAAGGCCAAAAGTTTCAGCTTCTCCGGAGGGATGTAGTCCCCTTCCTTCTCCGAGACGAACGGGGAGAGATGAGGAGGCAGCATTACGCCGGGAAAGTAATCAGCCACTGGAAGGCACATCTTGGCGTTGACCGAGTCAAAGACCCACTGAGGCTGGAGGTAGTATCTGGGGAGAAAGGAAAGCTAATGAGAAGTGGGTATTTTAGAATGTCAGTTGTACGTTGTGGCCTTACAACCCTCAACAGAGTCCAAAATGTCTGCGGCTAAGTGACGCACTTGTTAAGTGAGTTTTGCCCCATTTTACCACCTTTCTTACCACAGTTCTTAAGCAAAACACTGCAGTTGTTAAGTGAGTTACATAGCTGTTAAATGAATCTGGCTTCCCCCACTGACTTTGGGTGTGTTCACATGACTTCAGGACACTGCAACCGTCATAAATAGAAGTCAGTTGCCAAGTGTCTGAATTTTAATCAAGGGGAGGGGAGGTGCTGCAATGGTCGTTAAGTATGAAAAACTGTCATAAGTCACTTTTTTCAGTGCCACTGAACTTTGAATGGTCGCTAAACAAATTGTTGTAAGCTGAGGACTATTTTACATGCTCCATTCATGACCCTCCAAATCATCCTATTAGCCAAGATCTGATGAAGGTGGAGTAATCCCCTAGGACAGGGGTAGGCAACCTTGGCTCTTTTATGACTCGTGGACTTCAACTCCCAGAATTCCTGAGCCAGCCATGCATGGCTGGCTCAGGAATTCTGGGAGTTGAAGTCCACGAGTCATAAAAGAGCCAAGGTTGCCTACCCCTCCCTGCCCTAGAACTTTGGGACTCGGCAGCATGGACAGCATGGCTCCTTAAAATCCGACGGCAGTTATTTTGACTCCCAAAGAGCAGCTCTTACCTTCCAACTACCTGCTGCTCTACATTTGGCCGGTCAACAATCTGATGGGTGACGCATGGATCCGTAACCTCGTAGGTAGCGCCAATGCAGACGGACTTGTCCCACGACACTTTGCCCCCAAAGCACCTGGCGGAGGAGAGGTGGGCTTAAGCCAGATCTAGCAACAGGTTCTAGATTCAAATTTGCATTATGTTACCATTTCAAAGGGGATTTTTGCTGTTGGGAAAAGCCACTTTTGGGGCAAGCATGACTTGGATGATTGAGACTCAACATAGACACATCCCAAGAGAAAGCGACGAGATGCCCCTTTGGTTGAGTTCATGAAGTCATCAGAAAAAAAAAAAAGAGCAGAGTTTGTGGACCATTTTACTTTTAGGCAGCCAGAGGGGAGAAGACAACTTATACAACCGCCTCCCCAGGAACAAAATGGCATCCTTTATCAAGTACTTGGACTTGTCCAGGGTGCATCCTGGCGTCCTAATGGAGATCCTTGCAGGAGGCTCAACTCAACGAAGACCTAAACACGGCCCACCACCTCAAAGTGCTGCAGAGCAACCCAGCGCTGGTCCAACCCTGCCCAAATTCCAGAAGAGAGCTGGTGAAACAACGGCAAGGACTTACACACCTGATGACAAAAGCTAAGGGTTCTCGAGGCACCTCCCTGTTGAGAAAGAACTGCAGTCCTTCAAAGAGCTTCTTCTGTTTCTCCAGGTCCTTCTCCTCCTTCTGCCTGGCTTCTTCTTCTTCTGCAGTCTCCTGGTAGAGAAAGAAGAGCTCTATCAACCCCCTCTCCACGTTGGAAAGGTTATATATAAAAAGGGGTTCTTTCTTGGGTTTTGAAGGCTGGCACTTGCTTCATCATAACTATCTCAAAGTTAAGAACAAGAGATTCTCCTCATCTGCTCCACCTGGACTGCCACAATCTCCCCCCAACATCCTGCCTCTTGGAAGGCATTATCCTTTGACTTCCCAAAACAGGGGGTCCAGATATAAGACATCCCCACCCACCCACCCCCGCATCACTCACTCCTTCCACGGGAAACTCATCCACTTCGGCTTCATCCTCTATATTGGGGGCAACAACTCGAGCCAGGCTAGTGCTGAGAGCGGACAGTTTCTAAAGGGGGGGGGGGAAGAGAACCATTAATTGATGGAAGACTCTTAAGCCTAGTGGACTTAAGTGAAGCATGCAGTTAATGTAGATTCCCAGAATTGAAACAAGCTGGCTGGGGAATTCTGGGAGTTGAAGTCCACACATCTTCAAGCTCCAAAGGTTGAGAAACACTGACGTAGCAACTGCAATTGAACGGCCCTCTCTCAACAGAGGGGGAGAGATACGACACCATCTATCTCCAGTCTACAATACGGTCCTTTCAGCAGTTCCATCCTTCTCACCTCCAACGTGCTCTCAGAGTCCAAGGCATAAGCTTCTCCATCCTCCAACTTGCTTTCTGCTGAACAGTGGCTTTCAATCTAAAAGAACAGGCCACAGATATGGGGGTGTCAACCCTCTTGAGGCAGGCAGGCAACCCAAGCCACGAGTACTATACACTACAGTCATTTTAAGCTTACAGTCACAGAATCTTGCACATTTTTTGGAATGTTCTTTTCAAAAAAAGGAAGCGTTAGGTGTAGCTCAATATTAAAAAGAGAGTTGGAAACATTGCCTGTAAGAAGATACGCTGGGTTTCTCTTGCCTGTTTCACTCACCTTGGGAGGATAGTGTAAGTTGAGGGACTGATAAAGACGAAAATTGACAAAGCCAAGGAGGGTTGTGTAGAATTCAGTGAAAGTAGCCATTACCCTATAATCCACATCTGTCGGGTGCTGGAAGACAGAAAGCCAGCCAGCCAGCCAGCCAATCAATCAATCAATGTGCACAAACTTAAAAAAAAAAACTAACTCCCAGCTCTATTTATTTTTTTTTGCAAATAGGAATATTTTTTTTTTAAATGAAATGTAGGGTATGGCTTAATATTAAAAGGAAGTTGGAATAAATACAGGCACAGGAAGGGATGCCTGGGTTGGTAATAATTGAGATTTAACAAAATAGAATATTTTTTAAAAAATGAGAGGAATGCTTCTAAATAAATGAAGACAATGTTCTGCATCCAAGCAATTGGACACAAACGGCTTCTAACAATGAAACTCCATGGATGGAATTAATTGTTAATTGCCATTTTCACCTTGTTTTTTTTTAAGAACAGTTAATGATTTCCCTCCCCTGGGAACACCGAACACTAAACACCAAGCACGAGAGTTCGGCACGCAAATAACAAGAAGGAATCTGGCTTCTGGTCAAGGCAGTCTAATTCTGTTCAGGTACATAAAAGAGTTGGAAGGGACCTTGGAGGTCTTCTAGTCCAACCCCCTGCTCAAGCAGAAGACCTATACTATTCGGACAAATGGCTGTCCAGCTTTTCCTTAAACACCTCCAGTGATGGAGCACCCACAACTTCTGAAGGCGAGCCGTTCCTCTGGTTGATTGTTCTCACTGCTAAGATGTTTCTCCTTAATTCCAGGTTGCTTCTCTCTTGTCCAACGAGTTAAAACAACTGATACTCACGTTGTGGGAAAAGGCATAAGGTGTTATCCAGGTGATAAGTTGGCCCAGCACCTCAGCCTGGTAATAGATGCCCTTAATGGAGAGAAAGACCTGTAGGAAAGCACAGAAAAACAAACTCAGCTGGAAAAGTCTAAAGAGTCTAAAACTGCAGACAGGTAAGAAATGACCAGCACAAGGATGGTAAACCTTTTTAGCCTGAGCGTGTCAACAATTCAGAAAATGCCTAACTCAACTCTGCTGCCGTGAACAAAACAGAAACCATTCTTTACGTAGTCATTAAAAAAAAAAATAAGAATCCAATCATGCATATGACCACCAGGATCTGCCACATGCCACTTTCCTTCAGGCAGTGTTCTCACTTCGGCTGACACGCTCTGCGGCCTGCCCATCTCTTCTCCGAGGCCCACGAGGCCGTTGTTCTTGACGTGGCTTCCGAGAATCCGTGGCCTCTGAACTGCTCACAAACACATGACTTTCAAGTGCTCTGGAGGCCGTGCAGGAGCATGGCCCTCTCATGTGACTTTTGAAAGTTGCGCGAGATCACAACCCATTCTCATGGGGCCTCCAGTTTCCAAAAATTAGCAAAAAAACCACCAGCTCTGGAGAGCAGCTGTTGTCGGGTGTTGGTGAAAACATCAGGGTGTGTCAGCTTTGAAAAGATGGGTCACAGGTACAGCTCCTTCGTTGGCTTATTATTCTCTTGGCATGTATTGATCCGAGGGAAATCGATCAGCATTTGCATCTCCAGCAGGCCTGTCTCAGCTCACCTTGCGAAGACCGCGCGAGGCGATAACGAAGTTGAGAAACTCCACCGTCAGCCGTCGACAGAGCTGGATGGTCTGGACGTGACACTTGCCGGTGCGTGGGAAGGTGGAAAAGAGGACGCACATGGAGAGGGCATCGTCCAAATCCCGCAGGGCGTCCACAAAGGTTGGGTATCTGCAGCCATCGAGAGAAGAAGACAAGTTCAACACCATCTCTGTGGTTTTCTTGCCTGGAGTCCAAACTAAAGCAATATTTTACTCCCAGGGGCTCTTTGGGAACAGCGCTGCCTCTCTAGCACTGCTCCAAAGCCTTGACAGATTACTGATCTTGAACAGCTTCCAACTGTTACCTCTCTTTGACAATGTGATCCAACTTATAAGTTGGCTTGTTGTCTTTCAGGCGCTGCACCGTGTTCCATTCGCTCTTCCCGTAGGCTTTACGCAATTTGCGGACAAACACCTGTGGGGGGGGGGGGGAGAGAAGCATTTCACAACCCCAGACTTCCCAATGTGCAGCCCAAAATTCTAAGTGTCTGGCATGCTATCCACCAGTGGGTTTCCTTCCTCTTCTGCAACAAGGAGACACTGAAATGTGGGCTTATTTTCTTTTATGTTAAGCAATCTATAATAATAGAGCGTTGCCAATTTGGTGTAGTGGTGCAGGCAAGAAACCAGGAGACTGCGAGTTCTAGTCAAGCCAGCTGGGTGACTTTGGGCCAGTCCCTCTCTCTCAGCCCAACCCACTTCACAGGGATGTTGTGGGGAAAACAGGAGGGGAAGGAGTATTAGGTAGGTTCACTGCCCTGAGTTATTTTAAAAATAAGAAGGGGAGGATAGAAATATTGTTCTCTCTCTCAGAATTAACTTCCCAGGGCATCCAGGTTGTTTTTAACTCTGACGTCTGCTCTGAGATCAGAAAGGTTTTTGCCGCTGGGTTGTAAGTGAAAACTGTGCTGATCAAATCATTAACACAGGAAGAAAAAGCTTTACAACTTCTGGGCAAGTTGCAGAACAGCAATTTTTGAAAAGCGCCCATAATTCCCACCCGCTCCCTCCAAAGTAGCTGTTATGCCCAGAGGTTCATCTGCAACTTTTATCAGTTCCGGGTTCCCCCACCATCATGATACCTTGTATTCCCGGAATTTGTTGACAATGGGCTCATGGAGAAGAAACTTTATGTCTTTCAAGAGGTAGAAAGTCCGAGCAGCTGTTGATCCCTTGTTCACCTTCTTCTTGTGTTTGGGCTCGTGGGGATAAATCCCCTTGAGGATGCAGAGTCGCCTGGAAAAGGAAAACGAGCGAGAACAGACTCAGTTCGCCCATCTGCCACCTTAAGATCTTGGTTGGCTTCACAGTCTAGGTTCCATTATCTCCAAGGATTTGAAATGGACACCTAACATCAGAGCCATCATTAAAAAGGCACAACAAAGAATGTTCTTCCTGCATCGACTCAGAAAGCTCAGACTTCCCAAGGAGCCACTGGTCCAGTACTACAGAGGAATTACTGAGTCTGTCATTTGTTCCTCAATAACTGTCTGGTTTGGCACAGCAACCGAACAGGACAGGGACAGACTTCAACGGATAGTTAGGACTGCAGAAAAAAACAATCGCAACCAGCCTGCCTTCCATTGAGGAGTCTGTACAGGTTTTATATGACTTTTCTTGCCACAGTTGTTAAGTGAATCACCGCAGTTTTTAAGTTAGTAACAAGATCGTTAAGTGAATCTGGCTTCCCCCATTGACTCTACTTGTCAGAAGGTCGCAAAAGGGGATCACTTGACCCTAGGACACTGCGACCGTCATAAATATGAGTCAGTTGCCAAGCACCTGGATTTCGATCACATGGCCACAAGGATGCTGCAATGGTCGTAAGTGTGAAGAACAGTTATAAGTCACTTTTTTAGTGACTTTGGACAATCACGAAGTTGAACTGTTGCAAGTTGAGACTCCCTGCATTTTGCAAGCCCAGACCCTGAGATAGTTCAGTTAAACACAGTTCAGTCAGCCAAGACCGAGCAGCATTTCCAGGTAAAGGGTCATCACCCTCTTCCCATGAGTTTCTACTCCATTCCTACCAGGAACTTGGCAACTTCCCTACACAAACAGAGCAAATGACCCCTGCGAGAGGCCACTAAATATTTTTGCCATACCTGAAATCTGGAAGGCTGAGCTGCAGTTTCTTCCGAGCTTTATTTCTGGTGATATAGTTGGTGGCTGAACCCCTCTCGTACTTTCATAGAGGAGCAGGGAAAAAAGAGAGAGAAAAGAGTTACAATCAGCTGAACGAGGCTGGGCCTGGAGCCCTCCAGATATGCTGGTTGGCCTGCAGCCCCAGCCCAGGACAGACCAGATGAGGCAGTCCAAACCAGGTTAGGAAATCCCCCCCTCCCGCCCCCAATTCTTCAGAGGCCAGGAGCCCCTCTTGCAGCTGGCTTGGTGGGGAGGGGGTTACTTCGTGGGCTGGGTGGTCCCTGCAGCTTTCCAAAGGGCTTGAATAAGCCTGAGGAATCCCCTCGCCTGGCCCTCCCTTGAGGCCAGCTCAAAAGCCAGGAAGGCTCTCTCTCGCTCCCTGGCACTTAAGGGGTAGACTGCTCCTGAGCAAGGAGGCTCGACCCTTCGCCCCATTTTCCCCGAAGCAAGCCGCTCTGCTTGATCCAGAGAGAGAGAGAGAGAGAGAGAGAGAGAGAGAGACCAAAGCGGAGACCCGCTGGGCAGATGCGAGTTGGGAAGCGGCTAAACCCGGAAGTGGCGCGTCTACATTCAGATGTTATTTTGTACACGTGATAAAGAGAGAACCCGAACGCTTTTCAGGGCGTGTCAGCCGCCGAGTAGCTCAAAGCCAGGCGGTACCTTCTTTTTCTCCAGGCCGCCCATCGTGGCCGCTTCTGCCCGCCGCCTTCGTCCACGTGAAGCTCCCCTTGCCTGGCCGGGCTAAGCCCCGCCCCTCCCGCTACCCGGAAGTCCGCCCTCCCATCACGGAGGGTGTTTCCGGTATGGCCTGAACGGGAGCCCCAGAGGGGCTGCTGTGGCCTGAGGAGCGAACGGTGCGGACTCCTCCGGGCAGGAAAATGTGAGATTTCTCGTGGTTTTTCACTGCGGGAAACTGCCCGCAGGCCGCCGATCCGAGCAGGCACTAAATTAGATGGCCGGAGAGGGTCCTTTGGAGAAAGGCCCTCTGGAGCGCGCAGAGCATGATGGGGATTGGCTGTCCCTGATAGAGAGGTAGAGATAGAAAGTCCTCCGAGTGCAAAAGCGATGATTGGGTGCCTGTGGTTAGAGATAGGAAAAGTGAAGAGTGATACTCAAAGCAGAGGAAGGAAGGAAGGAAGGGTAGAGGAGAGGAGAGAAAGAAATCCAAGTTAGTTCAGTTCTTGCCCAGAAATTCATCAAACCTTCATCTATCCCTTTCTGAATCCAGAGTATCTGGCAGTCAAAGTTCTGATACACACCATCCTAAGCTACCATTTGTTTTAATCATTATCTGTTGAGTCAGTCATAATAGTCACATGCATGGCTCAGCCAAAACTAGGAATAAATTACAATAACCCGCTGCGTTATGTGCACACTTGTTATCGTGCAATGGGGACCTTTTTTTTCTTTCTACTTTACTATGCTAAAAATGAAAATATTTTAAAAACAGATACACATCGTGTAAGGTTTTTCCACTTAGCCTCACAATTGTCCCAGCGTTACTCAGGAATTTAAAAGAGCCAAAAGAATTACAGCAAAGAATTACAATTTCATTTTGATCAAAACAGGGAGGGGTGACCTTGTCCCTCTTCGTGGCTGGTAGAGGAATGAAGGCAACAACCAGGAAAGGTGTCTTCCACCTTTTATACCTTTGCAGAACAAAAAGAGCAGGTCTTTGTATCAGGAACAAAAAGGTATAGAAAAATAATTCCAAGATGATGACTCATACACAGCAACCCAGGCTCCATCCGTAACTCCTTTCCCCCCCTCCCCTTACCGTGATCTTTTCATGTAAGCAATCTCCTGTATATAGAGCATGAGACGTTTGCTTTTATGTAAATAATTTCCCAATATAAGGCACCTACAAAGCTGCTTTAACATGAACAAAGATAAATGATGACGAAGTATCACTATTAATATCAAGCTTGAGCATAATAAAATCCCTTCACACAAATACTCAAAACTGCTGTGATTGCCTTGGGCTCATTTGCATTTTTTTCCTGAGCCATCATGCAATACATTTTATTTTGATGTACAAACAAATAATTTGGTTTGGAAGCTATTGTTTACAGATAAGTGCGCTGCCTGAACTCAGTCTTTGTGGCTTAGAAACAAGCAGTGGTTTTGTTGTAACACACATAAAAAGCATATGAGCATCATGATAAATAGTTTTAGCTTTTAATTTTTAATTTATTATTTTTTTAAAAACTGCAACATAGATGAGTGAAAAGAATGATGGGATTATAAAGATTATATAAAGATAAAGATAAAATTGCTCAGGAACAAAATACATTTTTATCATATCTGTGCTTTATTCACAGATATGTCAGATCACATATCTGTGAACTGTAATTATGAAAGCTCGTGTCATTTACATTTTTAAGTCTCTTTTTGATGTTTAAATCAAAACTGGTCTCACAAATGCATCCAAAATGAGCTTTCAGACATTACAGTTAGACTCTGGCTTAATAATTAATCACATTCAGGAGTTCTAAGGGGCATCACAAAAATCTTTGTAAAAAAAACCCGTTTTAAAAGTGACTTTGGTTCAGTGGTAATTCAGATTCTGCCTTAAAAGGGAAACAAAATACTGTATGCACAGATCGTTCTGTTCCTGTACCTCTTGTTCTCTTTGCCTGATAAGAAATTTAACCATTATCGATTTATTTAAATGGTGTTATTTGTTTCAGATATTAACGGATTCTTTTTTCTCTCTCTGTCTAACATTTATGCATTCCAACACACTTGTTGTCTGCCTTGCCTTCCAGATCTCTTTCTTTTTTCTTCCAAGCCACATCCTGCAAAAACAGCTGACTTCAGCAGCTGGGAGGGGAAACCAGAGATCGTATGACAAAGGGTAAACAAGAAGGCGAGGGAAAGGGTGTCTCTCTACGGGGCTTCTGGCTCCTCCTGAGAATTTGAAAGAAGACCCCTCTAGGACGGAATCACGACCAGAACAATTAAGGTAAGATGCATCAAAGCAGCTGTTTCTGCTGCCCTCCAGTCATACGGGCTACTGGGGGATTTTCTCACGAAGAACCAGATCTGGGACGGCTGTTTTATCAATCTGCCTGTTTAAAAAAATTCAAAACTTCTAGCCCCATTGGATTCAGCCGGACCTATTTCTGGAGAAATATTGCCTTTATTGGGTGAGGAGGCAGATCCAAGAGGAAGGGAGAGACAGCTCCAATTTTTCTGTTTCTGTTTTTAGTTTTCTCTCAATTTGTGCGATCCACAAAGTAGACCATCACGCTTTAAACGGATGGGCTGTACATGTCACTCCTTAGGGAGGGTGTTAAGGAGAGCTCGCAGCTGACTGAATAAACTATGTTCTAGATAACAATAGAGAGAGAAGAGTCTCTCACAAAATAACTTTCTCTCAGTCTGGGTCTGTAGAAGAAGATTTGAGGGGCAAGAGATTTACAGAATGATAAGGAATATACTTGTGCCTTAACAGTGTGGGTCTCTAGGCTGACCTTGTTTCAGCAGGACTTCTGGGAAAGTTTATGTTCTTTTATGGTTCCGATGGGGTTAGATGACACATGCACTTCTCTGGAGCACAACATGAGACCTTGAGCCTGGCAGTCATTCTACACTTCTAAGAAGGTATAGCAAGGCTCTATCCAGTTGGACTCTTCTGGAGGTCTCCATCCCAGGGGAAGGTCAAAAAAGTCTAGACAATGGCTGCCACCAGGCAGGTTCAGCCTTGCCTTCCTGAGCAGCTTTTCCAGGCCAGGAGAGGTTCTGAGGAAGCAGTGAGAAAATGTGGGGATCTCTCCGTCCCCTCTGCAATCTCTCGCTGACTCCATCCGGTTCCACATATGAGGCCGAGATCGAAACGTGATAACGGGAATGCCAAAGTCCCTTGGAGTCTCTCCCGGTGCTGTTTTTCCTCTGACTCAGTCAAAGTCCTTCCTCTTTTGTAGACTCAGCCATTGCTCCTGGGAGGATGCCGTGACCCGGATCGCTCCTTGCGGTGATCATTGATCTGGGATTCTTGAGGAATCTGTTTGGGACAGGCTACACCATATTCCTGCCTTGGTCTCTGTCGGGATGGTTTTTCTGTGGCTCCGGACGCCCTTCCTTTTCCTCTTCCACATCCTGTTTGCATCAGTCCAACTGTGCAGTAGGTCTCTTTTTTTTATGATTGAGGTCACCAGGAAATGCCTGTGAAACGGATCATCAGACCGAGTCAGGAGATCTGAGATGGAGGGTGGGATGCACGAAGGTCACCCGCGATGGGCTTATTTCAATTTGAGCAACCTTGCAAGGTAGAGAGGGCACATTCGCGTGCAGCTGTAGTCCTGCAAATTTGGAGAAGCCTTGGGCTGTAGAGATTAAAATAGCAATAATAACAGCAATTTCAGTCAGGCTATGCTGGCTGGGGAATTCTGGGAGTTGAAGTCCACACATCTTTAAACTGTCACGGTTGAGAAACACAGAGTATTTTAGATGGATGAGGTGCTCATAACTAGTAGGAGTCTTGTTCTCGGTCTCAAACATGCTTCTTTTCTCTTTCTTTGGAAGATGTCCCTCCAGGAAACATTACGCTCATCCAGGCGCTGAATTCAGAGCTCCTAAAACTGGTGGATGATGCGTCCCAGGAACCGAACCCCAGCCTCTATTTGGGCCTTCGACTTTCCAACGAGCACAACCTGGAGAAGGAAACGGAGTATTTCACCCGACTGATAAACGTCTTTCAGCCTCAAAGCAGCAGGTGTGTGCAATCTGGTCCCAATCCAGAAATTTTATCTTGAAAATTCTTCAAAAAAAAAGGAGAGATGCCTAGAAATTCTCCTTGGTGAAGTGTAGAATTCCTGCACGTGCTTAGAAGGCCAATGGTACATTTTGTCTTTGTGGTACCGCAGACTTTCTCAACCTTGGCAAGTTTAAGGCATGTGGACTTCAACTCCCAGAATTCTCCAGCCAAGTAATTTTGGGAGTTGAAGTCCATGTGTCTTCAACTGGCTAAGGTTGAGGGGAAAAAATGTGGTACAGTCCTCTCTCTAGCTTCCATCCTTATTCCATTCCTGGAGAAGACACTAAGATTCACTTAGCTAAATTTGTAATGTTACTAATTTACCAAGCGCACTGATTCACTTAGCAACTGTGGCAGGAAGAGTCATAAAATGAGGCAAAACTCATTTAACAAATGCTTCACTTAGCAACAGAAATTTTGGGCTCTTGTTGTCGTAAATTGAGGACTACCTGTAATACCTTCATCCAGCCAGACCTGCAGAATCTCTCCCAGCCTGCAGAGAAGGAACTGATGCGCTAGTTCAGGGGTAGGCAACCTTGGCTCTTTTATGATTCGTGGACTTCAACTCCCAGAATTCCTGAGCCAGCCATGCTGAGGGGAAAGGGAGAGGTTTCCAAGCTGAGCCATGCTGGCTCAGGAATTCTGGGAGTTGAAGTCCACGAGTCATGAGGGGGCCAAGATTGCCTACCCCTGCGCTAGTTTCTTGTTAACTTCAATTTTTTCTTGTCTCTTCTGAGCTCAGCCGTTGGAAACAGCCTGGGACGGGAGAGCTGGCGCTGTACCTCCTTGCGCTGCGGGCTGCTTGTCATAACATGGACACCTCAGAGGGGAACCGAGTGGTGACCCGGCTGAAGCTTCTCTTGAATAGAGAAATGAAGCAGATCGGTAAGAATGGCTCAGCCAGCTTGGGAAGAACTCTCCCCACGAGGATCGGCGTGCTCATCCAAGACCGTAAAATTAGAGGCCACCAGTGGTGTGTAGGTCAGCGTCTTGTCTGGGTTGATCTGGAAGTTAGCCTCGGGGGATGAAGAGAATGAGGAGTCCAACCAGGATGAGCCAGGAAGCCAGAAGTGTGGCGTTCTCAGATCGGAAGAGGTTTTGGAGGTCTTACATTCCAACCTAGTCTTCGAAATTGCCAAGTTTAGAGACCCCCAGCCTACACTGGAGGTGGTCTGGGAGCTCCAGGGTGGAATGGGGTGGGATGGGGAAGGGAAACGACCCTCTTGGAAGATCAGGAATCTTGTTTAGGAAGCACTCTTTCTATATATATACCTAGATCACAAGGGGAAAGGCCAGCTCATCACCAACTACTACCAGTACAGCTTGGGGGTCCTGGCCTTGTGTGTTCACAGCAAGAGGACCGATCCCGAGGTGATCAGGAAGCTACTATTGGCTGAACACCATGGCAGGTTTTATCACCACCAGACTCTCTCCATAGGTAAGATCAGCTCTGCCCAAAGCTTCCAGGTGAGGGTGCTCCTTCAGCCTTTGGGCCAAATTTAACTCTCTGGTCAGCAAGAGGTGAGTTTCCAAGTGTCCTTGGAGATGCCCAATGCACCCATTGCTCTTCAGGGATTGGAGGCAGTTCTTGATTAGCGACCATTTGTTTGGTGACTTATCTGGAAAGCTGAGTTTTCACTGTTGTCGCCTCCTCCCGGTTGGGTGGGACTGTTGGCAGTCTTGGGCCCTCGCCCACCTCACCCCATCCTTCTTTTCCTGTCCTTCGCTCAAGACACGGAAGCCATGGCCGGGCTGGCTTTTGTCTGCTTGGAACAGATCCCCGGATACTCCCAGAAACTCCAGGCCAGCGTGAGAAGGGCTGTGAAACGAGTGAAAGCAAAGATCCTGAAAGCAGGGACGCCAGAGGGGGTTTATGGGAACATCTACAGCACCCCCCTGGCAATGCAGGTGAGGAGAGGGGGGGTGTCCCTGGCATTGTCTTCCTTGAGGGTAGGGATTCCTCTTGTGATGGAGCACATTTATTCATGATTAATGACGTGTAAGGGGGCGAGTGGCATGGTGGCCTAGAGGTGAAGACACTCGCCTCCCGGCTCAGAAGATGGAGAGTTCAATCCTAGGCAGGAAATAGATGTTTCTCTATCAGGGCCAAAGAGAAAATAATCTCCTGCGAACTCCACGTAGGCGTCAGGAAGAGCATCCGGTCAGTAAATACTCAGCTCCATTCAGTTGCCCCCGACTCCACCCCGAAGCAAGGGATTATAGGGCCATTAAATAAAATGACATGTAAGGGGGCGCGGTGGCTCAGCTGTTAAAGACGCTGAGCTTATCAGCTTGGAAAGTTGACAGCCCTGTTCGAGACCTGAGCGCCACGCGATGGGGTGAGCGTCCGTTCCTTGCTACAGCTCCTGGCCAGCTAGCAGTTTGAAAGCATGCGAATGCGAGTAGATAAATAGGTACCACTTGGGAAGGTATCAGCGTTCAACGAGCCTCGGCATATAGTCATGGCAGCCTCATGACCACAGATAATGCTGTCGAAGAAATGGAGACGAGCAGCATTCCCTAGAGTCGGACACGGCTGGACAGAGGAAACCTTTACCTTGAATGACACATAAAGGCTGCTTTCTTCTCTAACCTTTGGTGAACTTTTCTCTCTGCTTGGCAATCTAGTTTTTGAGTGCTGTCGGAATGGGGCAGAGCCAGCAGGAGTACTCCAGAGGCCTGGGGGCCCTGATGCAGAGCCTGGAGCAGGGAGACTTCCAAAATAACCTTATCCGGTCACAGCTGCTGCCTGCCTTGTACTGCAGGAGTTACGTGGACGTTGCCAGCATGGTGTGCCAAACTCAGACAGGTAAGGGAGGGGAGAAGGAGGGCACCGAAGCCGACTTGGGCTGAAGGGGAAACGTGATTGGCTAGAGCAGGGGTGTTCAACATTGGCAAGTTTAAGACTTGTGGACTTCAACGCCCAGAATATTGAATGCACATTGGCTGGGGAATTCTGGGAATTGAAGTCCATGCCTTTTAAAATGGCCAAGAGTGGGAAAACACTGCTCTAAGCGTTATGTTTTCCCAGGAAATGGTTCCTGATTCTCTCTCTCTTTCTTTCTTTCTTTCTTTCTTTCTTTCTTTCTTTCTTTCTTTCTTTCTTTCTTTCTTTCTTTCTTTCTTTCTTTCCTTCCTTCCTTCCTTCCTTCCTTCTTTCTTTCTTTCTCTTTCTTTCTTTCTTTCTTTCTTTCTTTCTTTCTTTCTTTCTTTCTTTCTTTCTTTCTTTCTTTCTTCATAGAAAGTTCAGTCCCTGATCTTTCCCTGCCGAAACCTTGCGGAAATCCGATACGGAATATTTCTGTCCGATTAGAAGCAAGGAAAGCCTCTCAGTTGCTGTACCAGCAAGTGCTGGAAGTTCCTTTGGGCTCCACTCTTCTAGACGTGCTGGAAGCTGCAGCCAAAGATGTTCACCAACCTCTCAGGTCAGGACCTTGTTCTCGTGCTTCGGGCGGTGGCCAAGGACACCTTGGCAAGGGAATGGGGTGGGATCGCTGCCTTGGGACCTCAACCCAAAGTCACCCGTCCAGTTCTCCTGCCTGAAATTTCTGGCCTGGTGCCTTCACCACTAGGGAACTTACCCTATACATCAGGGGTCTTCAAACTTGGCAACTTTAAGACTTGTGGACTTCAACTCCCAGAATTCCTCAGCCAGCCCTGGCTTGCCTACCCTCCTTAGATACCGGTTCTCTTTTCTTGGGGTGAAACAGGTATGAGACCCAGAAAACCCTCTCTGGCCCCATGCTGGTCGGCGTGATGGGGGAGAAGCCACAAAAAGGCGAACGCAAGTACTGGAGCATTCTGCGGCATCCTAACAGCAGCTTGGACCAAGGTGAGGATTGGATGTTTCGTGGGGGGTTGGAGGGGTGCTCCAAGATGGCACCTGGGGAAACTCCTCATTGGCCCAGGCAGCCCGATGGACCCGTCCGCTTCCCCCAGACTCACCAATGTCAAAGTCATCCCAGCTCGCATCACGAGACGGTCCAGACTAGCCAAATTGGAGTGAATCTGATACGAGGGGTCCTGGGTACTCTCTGAGCTGGCTTGTTTTCTTGCAGACGTTTCGTGACCCAACTAGGGAACATCATCAGTGCTAGAAGGCAGTGGGGTTTGCGGAGAGGAGGAGGGAAAGACAGGAGGAGGAAGAGGAGGAGTGTGGGATCCTTGGTGCTCTCTGAGCTGGCTTGTTTTCTTGCAGATGTTTCATGACCCAATTTGGTCACATAATCAGTGCTAGAAGGGAGCAGAATTTGCTTCTAGCTCTGATGATATTGCTTAGTTTGGGTCATGAAAAGTCTGCAAGAAAACAAGCAAGAGAGCACCAAGGATCCCACATTCCTCCTCCTCCTCCTCCTCCTCCTCCTCCTCCTCCTCC